CACGCTGTCTCTCTCTCTCTCCTAGAAATAAATAAAACATTAGAAAATTTAAAAATAAATAAATAAAAATAAAAGTACTAAAGGGCAGGGACCATGTGAATCCTGGCATGTAATAGGTGCTCAACAAATATTTTCTGAAATACCTACGTGAAAAGTTTTTAAAAAGGCTAAAAAAGTGATACAAGCAGGGAGACAACAGATATTTCTGTTACCAAAAGCATATATTTTCTCAACTTTGATCTTTGGTAGAGCATCATTTAGGAACCATACAGGCTGGGATGCTCTGTCACTTCCTAGCTGTGTGTCCTTGGTCAAGCTAACTAACATCTCTCCCTGTCTCAAGTTTCCTCACTTTCATACAGAGTAGCCACATTTGCAGTGTGGTTATGAGGATTAACTAATGTATACAAAACAGAAAGTGCTGATTTAAATGGTGGTTCTACTAGTCTGCCATAATCAAAAAGTTTTAGTACAACAGGATATTATACCATTAGGAAGGTGATCACACTGGAATTTTGCTTGAAACCATCTGGTTTTTTTAGAAGTAGAAAAATCAGCAAGTCCAACAGCTTGCCTTCCAGCTGCATCGTTCATCCTCTATAGTATTCAATGCCATCCCTTATGACCACAATCTCCCTCGGGTCCTGTGACGATGAGAACTCCTGGTTGTCCTGTGGCTCTAGCTCACTTCCTCTGTCTTCTTCTGTAACTTGTTCTCTATTGACACCTAAAGTAGGCACTTCTTTGGCTCAATTCTGACATATTTTTCTTACCTTATCCATTCTTAAAGTATCTCTATTTCAACCAGTATCTCTATGGAGGTGACCCTATGACCAGAAAGTGTTTCAAACTCAACTTACTCAAAATAAATACTTATCTTAGTTAATAAACGAACAAGCATACACAGCTTCAATTTCTCCTCTGTCATGCATTTTTTTTCTTTTTTTCTGATTCTTCTAGGTCTTACCAGTCCTCAGATTCCTATTCCTTCACCTACCTCTTAAAAATATTTGTCTGGGTTATCTTTGTGGTCTTCCTGTTCTACCTCAGTAGTTCTTAACCTTTCTGGGACAACAGACCCCTTTGAAAATCTATTGAATGCTATGGATTATTTACTAAGAAGATAAACATATACATCTGCTTGCAATTTCACTTAATAACCTCAAATAAGAATCTGTGCTCATCCATGCAAGATTACTACTTACATAAATTTTCACCTCCAGTTTCGACTTCCCTCTTCTAAATTTCAAGATGCCTTCTGGACATAGCCTAAATGGCCTACAGGCATCACAACTTAACAAGTCCATACTCACTACTTCTCCCAAATAAGCCTGCTCTACCTCCAGTATTTCTTCTCTGATAACAGCACCACCATCCTCCGGGCTCTCAAACTAGAAGTCTTAGAATTAACAAATATGACCGTATACAATCTCAGAAATCCTGGTCTCAGAAATCCCTCTTAAGTCCAAAACTCATTTCTAAGACCCTTACCCTTTAAGATCTCATTATCCTTTGCTTCTTCCCATACTTGCCATAATTCATTCTTTCTATCATTCTTCTGAGAAGAGCCATTATGGACACTCCCTTTTTTTTTTTTTTTTGAAAGATTTTATTTGTAAATAATCTCTGCACCAACGTGGGGCTCGAGTTTACAATCCTGACATCAAGAGTTGATTGCTCCACAACTGAGCCAGCCAGGAACCCCATGGACTCCATCTTAATAAGGTCTCTCAACACGTTACCCTTCAATGCCACTGTATCACTTCATGCCCACGCAGTACAATAACCTAACCGAATCCCCCACATTTTTTTCTATCATGTCCACAGTGTTGATTTATCTTCCCCAAAAATCTATGAATTGACCATGTGACTGCCTGTTTTCAAAACCACCAATGCTTCTTCATTGCACAAATATACAATGAAACTCAATTTTGCCTTTAGAGTTCTCTACAGCTTGCCACCTACTTTTCCAAGATTAGATTTCACAGCTCAAACTGTCACTTGAGCCTATTATCCATGAAAATCATACCCACTCTTGAAGACCCAACTCAACTCCACTCTTCATCTTTATACCTTCCATATAATAATTAGGAAAGGGCTCTGCACAAAAAGGCAAAATTCTTAATTTCCTGAAAATCTTCAACATTGTCTGTGTCACATTTTTTTAAAAAATCACTATTTAAATATTAACATTTGATTCAAGAAGCCCTCCATAAACCCAGCACTGTTAATCAACATTTATTAAATGCTAAGAATGTGCAATGCAGATTTAATTTTTATTTAGATGAGGATAAAAAGCTATAACCTGGACTCAAGATTGTAATTCCAATTATACTTGTATTTGGATTTTACTCAGGAAAGGAAAATTATAGTAAAAGTACTTGGCATCTCCCCTGATAGAGACTTAGAAGGTCCAGTAACTCTAAGACAATGACAGAAATACTTACTATATGTAAATGATCTTCAGACTGGTAAAAATCTTATCAAGAAAAAAAAAAACTTTCAAAGTGAAGTCTCCTAAACCTAAAGACTTTTTCAGTCCATATTTTACATGGTGAATTTTTTAAAAGAGCCCAAGGACTTTATGCACAATCCTGAGCCTCCCACAAGACGTGCTTACTGGGATACTTACCAGCAGGTACAATAGCAATCAGATGTATGACAGAGAGGTGATGCTGTGGGCAATACTTTGTTACCTTCTAGGCCCTTATTTTAGACCTGACCTAATGTAAATTTTCTTTTGGTTCCTAATCCTCTGAGTTCACTACTTTTCACAGTTGTATATGTGAAGCATTTTAATCCTCAAGAGAATGAAAATAGTCAAGACTCAATTAGGATTTTTTTTAAATGTTTATTTATTTCTGAGAGAGAGAGAGAGAGAGAGAGAGGCAGCATGAGCAGGGGAGGGTCATAGAGAGAGAGCAAGACACAGCATCCAAAGACAGGCTCCAGGCTCTGAGCTAGCTGTCAGCACAGAGCCCGACGCAGGGCTCGAGCCCATGAACCGTGATATCATGACCTGAGCCAAACTGGACACTTAACCGACTGAGCCACCCAGGCGCCCCTAGGATTTTTTTAAGTCTTTCTATCGAAGACACTTGTTAAATCATGCCTTTATGGCATTTCTAAAATCACAATCATTCAAATTTGAATATATTTCAAAAAATATATTTACTTATAACAGTAATATATACTAAAATTCTGAAATTATTAATAACACTATTTAAGGGCAGTAGGGTATAACAGAAAGAGCTGCAGCATTTGATATAGGATCGTAATCTACAATCTCAAGTCTGGATGCTACTTGTATGACCTGAAGAATTTGCTTCACTTACAAATACTTTCTCACTTGAAAGAGGGTTATCACCACCTTTTTCTCCATCGAAGTGGGTGTTCAAATAAAATGAGATAATATACCTAGAACAGCACCTGCCACCAAGTGTTTAATAAATATTAGTTTGCTTCTTTCAATCAAAACAAAACACACTCACAAGAAGACTTAGGTGTAAGGGAGTCTACACTTCCATTAAGTCCTCATCAGCACAAAACAATACAGCTAGTTCTAAGAACTACAAACGTTTCTGAGGAATATGGATCAAGATAAGAGAAGCTGCATGTGATTCTGCAAGAATCCCATTATGACTGCATATATATTGACCACTAAAACATTAACAGGAAAAGTCCAGAGCAATTGTGCTAAAGCGTATGAATACATTTATGCTGGCAAGAAAGCTCACCGGAGGGGGGGGGTGGGTAGGAGAGTCCAATTAGGCCCAACTCCAAACGACTCTAATAAGAGAGCAGTGCTGGCTTATTCTTCATTAAACGCAATCAGTATGGATATTAAAACCCATCTAAAAACTTCAAATTTAAAATATTTCATAACTAACACTGCTGCCACTAATGCTTTTTATAGAAAGCCGGCGCAGGAGAGCACCGTTTGCACCACTGAAGAAAGATATTTAACGAAAGTCGTTCGCGTAAAATGGGCAAGGGGAGATAATTATTTCGACGTTCTGCACACATGCCGAGGCGAACCGCTTTCAAGACCGCGGCCAACACCATCGACAAGCATCTGAAGGAATTTCTGGCTTTACAACTGGATGTCAAAAAGAAGGCCACGATGCTAGCAAACGGGGCGGGGGGGGGTATGGAAGGAGACGGGGGACCGCTTCCGTTCCGTTCCCCTGCCGGTGGTCCTGGCTCTAAACTCCGCGCTGTGCCCGGGTCTGGGGGGTCCCTGGGTGCTGGCCTCAGCCCCCTACGCCCCTCCCCGGGCCCCGGCAAGCGAAGGCCGGCCCGCGAACCGCCGCGAGCAACACCCAAAGCCTCCACCGCCTCCCGGGCCCCACCCGAGGCTCCCGGCGCAGGGACCGCAGTGAAGCCAAGGATTGGGGTCGCACCGGCGCGGGAGGCCGGGGCGCCTACGAGGCCGAGGCTGCGTCCGCTGTGTCCCCAGGCGGTGGGGTGGGCGGGCGTGGCCAGGTCTGCGGGCGGGCGTGGACACTCACCACACCATGCCGTAGGCGCCCTCGCCGATATAAGAGAGGTTGGTGTAGCGCGGTCCCACGTCGAACACCTGCCCGCGGACCATCTCCGGGCCCGCGCCCGCCGCCGCTGCCGCCGCCATGTTGGCTGCCGGGCCGCCGCCGCCGCCTCCGCCGCGAAGGGCTCGACGCTCCGCGGCCGCCGCTCGGCTCACGCCGCGCCTCCCGGAGGGACCGCGCCGCTGCGGGTGCAGCTGCCGACGCTGACCGGGAAAGGAGCAAGGAGTATACCGTTTACAAAAGCTGGAGAGCCACGGCCACTCGGACCGACTGCCTGCCTGACTGACTGACGGGCGGGCCGGCGGGCGGAGGGAGGGGCGCGCGCCGAGGAGGGCGCCAGGGCGGAGCCAAGAAGCGTGCACGCGGATTGGCTCTCCCCCGCTTGGGGGCGTGGCTGCGCTGGCCAGCGGAAGCGGCGAAGTCTGGGCGGAGCACTGCGGCGGCGGTAGAGTCACCGCCCTGCGTGGTCACGTGTGTTCGCGGGGGAGTTGGCGCGGGAGGCGGCTCTGGAGACGCAAAAGGACACAGAGGCGTCGGGTTGGGGTGTATATCGCTAAGCCAGAGAGACTATCGGCGCAGGGAAAGCCCCGGAGCGGTGTACTGAGTCAGGGTACGACCTGGGACAGCGCATGAGGGACGTCAACGCACCACACACCGGCCACAGGCCTGCAGCAGGCCTGCGCGAGTCAGTGGTCCACAAACTTAGAAGCCTTGAGACAAGGACAGAAACCGAAAGGCTTGACCGAGACCACAAAAGAGATTTGCATACTGAGAAAGTGTGAAACGCGAAGGTGGAGACTAAAGCGAGAGACTCCGGAGCCCCTAAACAGACAGGTTTGTTCAACCAGTGTTTGCTGAGCATCTACATTGTTCCTGGGCATCAACATTCTAGAGAGAGGAGATAAATAGGTAGATAAGAAAGAAAGAAAAGAGAGGTTTAAAAAAAAAAAATATATATATATATATATATACTCAAGTTGTAATAAGTACTATGAAGAAATATAAAGCAGAGTGAAGGGTTAGAGGGCAATGGAGAAAGACGTTGAGATTAAGGGACTGAGACCCAGATACCGACAGAAGCTTTAGGACATACTGAAACATGCAAGGATGGAAATGCTAAAACCCAGACAATAAGACTGAGAGAAAACGAGACATACAAACTGAGGCCCTAAAGTACTCAAAAACACCAGAGGCTGGAAAGTGAAAATCCGAATCCTAAAGCAAGCGGTTACCAAGAATAGCTAAGACAATGAAACAGAAATGATGCAGCCACTGCTTCTGAGCCATTTCAGGCCATCTGTGGAGAGGGAGGGAATAAGGATTAAGATCCTGCATCCTAGTTGTCCAACACTGATCTTGAAAGCCCCCCACTCTGGACTTCTTTACATCAGTAAATTTCAGTTAGTCAGTCTCAAAGGTGAATAGGCAAACTCTTTAAAAACCTTGTAGGAAAATAAATATGTGGCACATGAAATAAGAAATAAAGTGCCAGAGGGGCACCTGGATGGCTCAGTTGGTTGAGTGTCTGACCAGCTCAGGTCATGATCTCTCGGTTTATGAGCTCTAGCCCCGTGTTGGGCTTGCTGCTGTCAGCACAGAGCCCACTTGGGATCTTCTGTCCCCCTCCCCTGCTTGCTCGCTCTCGCTCGCGCCCTCTCTCTCTCTCTCTCAAAAAAAAAAAATAAACATTAAAAAAGAAAGAAAGTGCCGGAACCAAAAATTACTCCTTGAAACATACTTAGTCCACTAAGCAGAACCCAGTTTTAGAATACACCTCACTTTTATTCTTTATTAAGAGAAGGTTGCATCTTTTAAAGAACAGGCCAATAGGGGCTCCTGGATTGCTCAGTTGGTCAAGCAGCTGACTCTTAATTTCAGCTCAGGTCATGATCTCGTTGTGAGATCAAGCCCTGCATCAGGCTGTTTGCTGATGGCAAACAGCCTGCTTGATATTCTCTCTCTCTCTCTCTCTCTCTCTCTCTCTCTCTGCCTCTCCCACACTCTGTCTCTCTTTCTCTCAAAATAAATAATAAACTTAAAAATATAAGAAATAATTAACATTAAAAATATATATTTAAACAACAGGCCAAGATAGAGAGTACTGTGAAAGGAAAACCATAGTAACTGAAGTAAAATTCAATAGTGCAGTAAAAAGCAGATTTGACAATGCAGAAGAGCAAAATTCAAAGTGATGGAATTCTTTAAGAAAGGGAAAATGAGTAGGAGAACATCAAGCTTTAGGCATCCCTCAAAAGAAGACAGAGCAAATCAATTACAGGAGATAATTTAAATTATAATACAACTTTCCTTAGATCTGAAAACATCTGAGGGGCAGGTGGCAAACTGAGTGAATTCACTGGGATCCAGAAAAATTAATAAGCATAAACCAACTTCAAGATGTAATCTGGAAAAATTCTTAAATTTCAGAGATAAAGAACAAACACAGTCTCCAATAAGGAAAACAAAACTGTTGATTTAAAAAAACAAACAGGGACGTCTGGGTGGCTCAGTCAGTTAAGCGTCCAACTTTAGCTCAGGTCATGATTTCACAGTTTGTGAGTTCGAGCCCTGCATGGGGCTCTGTGCTGACTACTCAGAGCCTGGGGCCTGCTTCACATTCTGTGTCCCTCTCTCTGCCCCTCCCCTGCTCATGCTCTGTCTCTCTCTGTCTCAAAAATAAAATAAAAACATTAAAAAATAAAACAATAAAAATAAAACAAACACTTGTTGGGGTGCCTGGGTGGCTTAGTCAGTTAAGTGTCCAGCTCTTGATTTCAGCTCAGGTCATTATCTCATGGTTCATGGGATCGACCCCCAAGTCAGGCTCCATGGTGACAGTGCAGAGCCTGCTTGAGATTCTCTCTCCCTCTCCCTCTGCGTCTCCCCTGCTCACACACCCTCTCTTTCTCAAAATAAATAAACATTTTTTTAAAAAACACTTTTTTTTCATATTCCTCCTTTGTAATAATCAAATGCAAAAGGAAGATGGAACAAGATTGACAGCACTCTGAGGAGGTAAGTCGTAACCTTCCTTGGGTGGTTTTATTCCCTCCAATCCTCAGTTCCTCCCAGGTCTTCAACCATGGCTCAGAATCTCTTTCCTGAACTTGGGGCACCTGGGTGGCTCAGTTGGTTGAGCATCCGACTTCGGCTCAGGTCATGATCTCACAGTTCGTGGGTTCAAGCCCCACGTTGGGCTCTGTGCGGACAGCTAGCTCAGAGCCTGTGTCTCCCTCTCTCTCTGACCCTCCTCTGCTCACGCTGTCTCTCTCTCAGAAATAAATAAAAACACTAAAAAATTAAAAAAAAAAAAAAAGAATCTCTTTCCTGAACTCCAGGTCATCTTGTCTACCTACACACCTTTATATGACGTCCCCATAGATACTTTATCTCCACATGTCCAAGCTGCTAACAGCTAGAGCAGGAGTTTGCACTCAAGAATGCCAGAGGGTTTCTGTTGTGCTGCTCCACTTACTACCTGCCTGACCTTGGCCTCAGTTTCCTCACTCTTGAAACAAAGATCACAATAGTACCTACCTCATAAGTTTTTTGTACAGAATAAGTAAGACAATATATGTAAAGAGCCTGGCACATAGCAAGTACTCAATAAATGTTATCTTTTATTATTATCTACTCCACCCAAACCTGTTCCTCCTCTTGTATCTGGGGATAGCATCACCACCTAGATACTCAAACTGGAAATTTGAGTATGATCCTTACCAACTCATTTCCCGTATTGCCAACTCTCCCCTCCCCCACCCCTCCACCCTCATTGAACCAGTCACAAACTCCTGTAAATTCTGTTTCTTTCCATCAACAGACAAATGGATCAAGAAGATGTGATTCATCTATACAATGGAATACTACATGGCAATGAGAAAGAATGAAATCTGGCCATTTGTAGCAACATGGATGGAACTTGAGGGTGTTATGCTGAGTGAAATAAGTCAGGCAGAAAAGGATAGATACGATATTTTTGCACGAATAGGAGGATTAGAGGAACTTAACGGAGGACCATGGGGGAGAAGAAGGGGAAAAATAGTTGGGGAGAGGGCGGGAGGTAAACCATGAGAGACTCTTGAATGCTGAGAACAAACTGAGGACTGATGGGGGTGGGGTGGGGAAGGGGGTGATGGGCATGGAGGAGGGCACTTGTGGGGATGAGCACTGGGTATTATATGGAAACCAACTTGACAATAAACTATTTAAGAAAAATAAATAAATAAAATAAATTCTGTTTCTTTAATATTTCTGAAATCCTGGGGTGCCTGGCTGGCTCAGTTGGTGGAGCATGCAACTCTTGATTTCAAGACTGTAAGTTTCAGCCCTACTTTGGGCATAAAGTTTACTTAAAAATAAAATCTTTTTAAAAAAAATTTTTGATGATAGTTCTAAAATCCTTGTTATTCAAAGTGTGGTGTCCGAACGAGCAGTGTCAGCATTGTGTGGGAGTTTGTCAGGAATGTGGCATCTCAGGCCCTCACCCAGACCTACTGAATCAGGATCTGTATTTTAACAAGATCCCCGGGTGGTTTGCATGCATATTAAACTTTGAAAAGCACTATTTATTTTTTATTGAGGTATAATCAACATATAATATTATGTTAGTTTCAGATGTACAATATGATTCAATATGTGTAAATATTGTGAAATGATCACTATATGTCTAGCCAGCAGCCACCAATCACACATAGTTAAACATTTTTGAAAAGCGCTGTTTTAAACATATCCACTTCATTCCCACTGCCATTCTACTACTGATCAACTCTCTCACCTAGAGGACCACAGTAACCTTAATCCTTCTGCTTTCAGTGTGGCTCATCTCCAGTTGCTTCTCCTTGTATCCAGATCACTCTTTCCATAACAAATTGGACCATGCCTTTTCCCTTAAAGCAAATCAGGGGCTCCCCATGGCTCTCTCTTGGTCACACCATATACCTCTCTCTGACCCTGTGAGATGTTCTCTCTTCACTCTTCCAACATTTGTGGACATTTTAAAAAATTTTTAATGTTTATTTATTTTTGAGAAAGAGAAAGAGACAGAACACAGAGGGAGAGGGTCATAGAGAGAAAGACACACAGAATCTGAAGCAGGCTCCAAGCAGTCAGCACAGAGCCTGACATAGGACTTGAACTCATGGACTGCGAGATCATGAGCTGAGTCGAAGTTGGATGCTTAGCTGACTGAGCCACCCAGACACCCCCATTTGTGGACAGTTTAAAGCCACCACACTATCATAGCCACTAATTTTCTCCAGAGAACTTCTCTTGCCTGGTTCCATGGGTGCTAACTAACCTTATAATTAGAGTTCAGCTTCACTTATGGTTTTCAGCAGGGAAAATTCACTAACCAGAGGACAGCCCTGTTCAAGTCCTTTGGCAATTAGTATTTATCTTAAGATGGGGATTACATATACATCTGTCTCTGCTGAGTCACGTTAGCATGAGTCAGGCCCAGAGGGAAGGACCATCTAGCTATACTGACAGCAACAAATATTTGCAAACACAAAGCGGAGAACTAGGTTCTGGAACACTGTGAAACCACTATCTAAGCATAAAATCCTGCTTAGATGGGCAGCTGGCCACCTAGATGTCTTCCTTATTGTCTCTCTAGAGTGGTGACAGTTCACCAAACTGCAGACAGTTTGCCTGCCCATCATCAAATCCTCCTCTGGAAGCAACAACCCAATCTTTCTTCGGCAAACTGTCCTTTCTATGCTCTTAAGTGGTTTGGAGGGCTGGCCCCACCCTCAGGTCAAAAGTAAGCATGTGACCCAGTCAGAGTCACAGACACTGGTTCAAAGGATGGGCAGGTTACCTGATATAGGCCAATGACACTTGGCTTAGACTGTTATAGAAACAATTGGAAAAAGAGTGCTCCCTTTCTGTTAGGGTTCAAGGGCAGTTGGGGCAAAACATGCCATGATGTGAGCAATGCCCTCTGAGGATGAAGGCAGGATAGAGAAAGCAGAATCCAGAGATAGAGACAATTTCCTGATGACACATTTTGAGGCTGTAATCAGCTGAATCTGGACTTTACATGCTCACGAGCCAATATATTCTCTTTTTTAGTAAAGTCAGTTTGAGGTAGGTTTCTGTTACTTGAAACCACAAGAGTTTCTGACTAATACACTACCCAATTAACTCCCTTTTCTGCAAAAATTGCTCATAATTGTATAATAAGCCACCAAGACATGAATCAGAAACTCATGAATGATTAAATGAGGGAAAAGAACTGGCAATAAGCCTTGAAACTAGCTAAAGATAGAGAGATAACTGAATAAAAACACCACTCAGTAGAGACTTTGATGCTGATAAGTTGAAATGATTGTTGTTGCTATGGTAACAAACAAAATGCAAAAGAAAAAAAGTGAGAAAAAGGATTTTTTAAAATTGGATTGTTAACCTCAGATTAATGCAGTGAAAACCAGAAAGGAAGATAGAGGGTAGAAAAAGCCAGGCATTAAGTCTTTGTTTTACATAAAATGAAGATAAAAGTTATTTTTAAAAATAATACAATTTCATATATTTTTTCACTGTAAGAAGCTTTATGTCTGCTGTATAAACTATCACAAGAGATCAAAGGGAAAATGTAATTCACGCAGCAAAAATCAAGAGCCTTGTACCAAGAAGTGTACCAGACACTTTGTCACATTGCAAATAGAAAAGAAACAGCAAGGAATCGTAAAAAGTGACATCAAGGCAAAAGAAAGAAAAGCAAAATTAAATTATTGGGACTACACCAAAATAAAAAGCTTTTGTACAGTGAAAGAAACCAACAATAAAACAAAAAGTCTTGGGGCACCTGGGTGGCTCAGTCGGTTAAGCATTCGACTTTGGCTCAGGTCATGATCTCACAGTTCGTGGGTTCAAGCCCCGCGTCGGGCTCTGCGCTGACAGCCAGCTCAGAGATTGGAGCCTGCTTCAGATTCTGTGTCTCCCTCTCTCTCTAACCCTCCCCTGCTCACACTGTCTCTCTCTCTCTCAGAAAGAAATAAAAAAAATTAAAAAAAAAATAAAACAAAAAGGCAACCTACCGAGTGGAAGAAGATATTTGCAAATAATATATCCAATAAGGAGTTAATATCCAAAATATAAGAACATCTATAACTCAACACCAAAATAATAATAATAATAATCTGATTTTAAAATGGGCAGAGGACCTTAAGAGACATTTTTTTTTCCTTTCGTAGTTTATTTTCAAGTTGGTTTCCATATAACACCCAGTGGAAGAGACATTTTTCTAAAGAAGACATACAGATGGCCAACAGACACATGAAAAGATGTTCAATATTACTAATCATTGGGGAAATGCAAATCAAAACTACAATGAGATAATTACCTTATACCCATTAGAATGGCTAAAATAAAGAACACAAGAAATAACAAGTGTTGACAAGGATGTAAAGAAAAAGGAAACTTTGTGCTCTGTTGCAGGGAATGCAAATTGGTGCAGCAATGATGGAAACAGCACAGAGGTTCTTCAAAAGTTAAAAAGAGGGATGCTTAGCTGGCTCAGTTGGTAGAGCATGTGACTCCTGACCTTGGGGTTATGGGTTTGAGCCCCATGTTGAGTATAGAGATTACTTAAAAATAAAATCTTGGGCTACCTTGTGGCTCAGTTAAGCATCCGACTCTTGATTTTGGCTTAGGTCACGATCTCATGTCTCATGGGTTCAGACCCTACATGGGGCTCTGTGCTGACAGCATTGGAGCCTGGTTGGGATTCTCTGTCTCCCTCTCTGCCCCTCCCCTGCTTGCATGAATGCTCACATGCTTGCTCACTCTCTCAAAAATAAATAAACATTTAAAAAAATAATAAAATAAAATACTTAGTAGCACCTGGGTGACTCAGTCAGTTGAGTGACCAACTCTTGATGATCCCAAGGTTGTGGGATCAAGCCCTGCATTGGGTTTTGCACTGAGTGTGGAGCCTGCTTAAGACTCTTTCTCTCTCTCTCCCCCCTCTGCCCCTCCCTCCCTGCTCATACACACTCTCTCTGTCTCTCTAAAAAGTTTAAATTTAAAAAATAAATAAAATCAATAAGTAAAATCTTTTCTAAAAATGAAAAAGAGAGGGCGCCTGGGTGGCTGAGTCAGTTAAGCATCTGACTCAGGCTCAGGTGATGATTTCATGGTTCATGGGTTTGAGCCCTGCATCAGGCTTTCTGCTGACAGCTCAGAGCCTGGAACTTGCTTCGCATTCTTTGTCTCCCTCTTTCTCTGCCCCTCTCCTGCTCGTGCTCTGTCTTTCAAAAATAAACAGACACTGAAAATATAGCTTTTAATTAAAAAGAGAATTACTATATAGTCCAGTAATTCCACTATTTACCCAGAGAAAATGAAAACAATAATTTGAAGAGATACACTCATTCCTCTGTTTATTGCAGCATTATTTACAATAGCTAAGATATAGAACCCAAGTGTCCTTCCATAGATGAATGGACAAAAAAGATGTGGTATATATATAATGGAATACTCAGCCATAAAAATAAATCTTATCATTTGCAACAACATGATAGACTTAGAGGATATAATGCTAAGTGAAGTAAATCTGTCAGAGAAAAACAGATAGGATTTCACTCACATATGGAATTTAAGAACCAAAACAAATGAATGAACAAAGGAAACAAGAGATCCAAAAACAGACTCTTAAATACAGAGAACAAGCTGGTGGTTACCAGAGGGGAGGGGGTGGGAGGATGAGTGAAGTAGATAAAGGGAAATAACAGTACACTTATCTTACTGAGCACTGAGAAATTATAGAATTGTTGAATAATTATATTGTACATCTGAAACTAATATAACAGTGTTAATTACACTTGATTTTTT